ATCCCTGTACTATAGCCCATGGTTTTTTCCAAAAAATGGCTCCCAAATCACCCCAAATTTTTATTACATTTACTGATACATATTGATGTCCTTATGCTGTGTAGAAAGTTTAAGTTGATTCCAACTTTAATTTTTCGAGTTACAGCCATTTTAAGAAACGGGCCAATTTTTGAAAAAATCCCTGTACTATAGCCCATGGTTTTTTCCAAAAAATGGCTCCCAAATCACCCCCAATTTTTATTACATTTTCTGATACATATTGATGCACTTATGCTGTGTAGAAAGTTTGAGTCAATTCCGACTTAAGTTTTTGGAGTTTCGGCCATATAAAAAATTGGCCAATTTTTGAAAATTTCCCTGTACTATAGCCCATGGTTTTTTCCAAAAAATGGCTCCAAAATCACCTAATTTTTATTACATTTTTGATACATATTTTGAGTACATTTACTGTAGTGTACTATTACTTAATTTATATTTTAGTTTGGATTTGACAGTATGATGTTTGGTCGTCTCCATTACGAGGATGATGAAATTCGTAGAAACACGTCACAAAGAGAAATCATATGGAAGAGCAGTCCATCCCTGGGCAACATTGCTGATATATTTACTGAAGTATTGTACGGACATTATGCTGCTCCTCATGGTTTCTGCTTTGATTTAAGATGCAAGGACCCTCCAATTATGGTCAGCTCCAAACATTCCAATTCTCATTATTCATTAAAAATGTCTCATGGTTTCTCTAGGATGATAATAATTTGTATGATGATAATGTGAAGAGTAGGGTGGATGAGTTTATAGAAGCTGCACTAACTCAAGTAGGAATTATAGTTTTATTATTGGCCTCGCCTACGCGAGGTATAGGTAGTTGTTGTGTGTGTCTGTCATTCATTCATTCATTCATTCATTCTGTACAACTGAAATTTGTTTTTAATAAACAATAACTTTAGCACAGCGTGTTCTAAGCTCCTAGATCTTTCTTTTTGACGTGGAAAAGTCTTTCTTAACTGTTTTGTGTTGCTCAAATACAAGTGCTAGGTACAGAAGCTTCAAAGTAAGAAAATCGAGTAGTTGGGCCAAGTTCCGTTGTGTTGGCACTTTAGAGATAGCTGGTAGCATTTTTCAGTAGATTAGAACATGGCCTTCAAAAATTATGAACAGATTTCTCTAAATCTTACTTGATGAAGAGTTATACTTACTTGAAATTGTTGAGGTCACTCGTTTGTGCAGCG